AGCCTGGGCGACAGAACTAGACTCCATCTCAAAAAAAAATTTTTGTTGTTTTTTTTGTATAGGCGAGGTATCACTATGTTGCCCAGGCTGGGCTTGAACTCCTAGGCTCAAGGGAGCCTCTTGCCTTGGCCTCTCGAAGTGCTGGGATTACCGTTGTGAGTCACTGAGCCCGGCCTGTCTTCCATACCTATGGTTCCTTTGTCACAATTAAGACACCAACATTAGGCCGCTCATGCCTGTAATCCCAGCATTTTGGGAGGCCGAGGTGGGTGGATCACCTGAGGTAGGAGTTTGAGACCAGCCTGGCCAACATGGTGAAACCCCATCTCTACTAAAAATATAAAAAACTAGCGTGGTGTTGGGCGCCTGAAATCCCAGCTACTCGGGAGGCTGAGGCAGGAGAATTGCTTGCACTCAGGAGACGGAGGTTGCAGTGAGCTGACACAACGCCACTGCACTCCAGTCTCAGTGACAGAGTGAGACTCCATCTCAAAAAAAAAAAGAAAGAAAGAAAGAAACCAACCTTGATATGTTACTGCTAACTCCAGGCTTTATTTGGATTTCACTAGTTTTTCTACCTAGGTCCTCTCTCTGTTACAGAAATCTATTCAAGATACGACTTTGCCTTTAGCCATCATGTCTCCTTAGTCTCCTGTGGTCTGTCACAATTTCTCAGTCTTTCCCTGTTTTTCATGGCCTTGAGAGTTTTGAGGAGCACTGCTCAATTTTATAGATTGAATGAGTCTTTGGTAAAGTGTCCCTCAGTCGGGGTTTGTCCGATGCACTCTCGTGATGAGGGTTTGGGGTGTAGGGAGGAGACCACAGAGGTGATGTGGGCTTCTCATTGCATCGTCTCAGGGCTGACGTGACATCACTGGTGAGGCTGACCTCAGTCACCTGGTTAACGTGGTGTCTGCCAGATTCTTCTGCTGTCAAGTTACTATTTTTCTTTTCTTTTCTTTTCTTTTCTTTTCTGAGATAGAGTCTTGCTCTGTCCCCCAGTGTCTCCCAGGCTGGAGTGCAAAGGTGTAGTCTCGGCTCACTGCAACCTCCACCTTTCGGGTTCAAGCGATTCTCCTGCCTCAGCCTCCTGAGTAGCTATGATTACAGGCGCCTGCCACCATGTCCAGCTGGGTGGGCCTGCCCAAACAGTTTTTTTTTTGAGAGATGGGGTCTCAGCTGGGCGCGGTGGCTCACGCCTGTAATCTCAGCACTTTGGGAGGCCGAGGCAGGCAGATCACAAGGTCATGACATCGAGACCATACTGGCTAACACGGTGAAATCCTGTCTCTACTAAAAATACAAAAAAAAAAAATTAGCCAGGTGTTGTGGCGGGCGCCTGTAGTCCCAGCTACTTGGGAGACTGAGGCAGGAGAATGGCGTGAACCCGGTAGGCAGTGGAGATTGCAGTGAGCAGAGATCGTGCCACTGCACTCCAGCCTGGGCGACAGAGCGAGACTCCGTCTCAAAAAAAAAAAAAAAAAAAAAAAAAAAAGAGATGGAGTCTCACTCTGTTGTCTAGCCTGGTCTCAAACTCCTGGGCTCAAGCGATTCTCTTGCCTCAGCCCAGCCTCCCAAGTAGTTGAGACTATAGGTATGTGGAACCACATCTGGCTCATTTTTTGTATTTTCTGTAGAGACAAAGTTCACCATGTTACCCAGGCTGGTCTCGAACTCCTGGGTTCAAGCAGTCCACCTGCCTTGGCCTCTCAAAGTGCTAGCATCACAGGCGCAAGCCACAACGTTCGGCCTAATAATCTTATTAGTTTGACTCACACTTGCCAGCAACTGTTAGAAAACTCCAAATAGGCTGGGTGCGGTGGCTCACGCCTGTAATCCTAACACTTTAGGAGGCTGAGGCAGGCGGATCACGAGGTCAGGAGTTTGAGACCAGCCTGGCCAGCATGGTGAAACTCTGTCTCTACTGAAAATATAAAAATTAGCCAGGCATGGTGGCAGGCACCTGTAATCCCAGCTACTCGGGACACTGAGGCAGGAGAATCACTTGGAACAGGAAGGCAGAGGTTGCAGTGAGCTGAGATCACACCACTGTACTCCAGCCTGGGCGAAAGAGCGAAACTCCATCTCTACAACAACAAATGTAAATTACAGTAGCTTAAACTGGAAATTTGTCTCTTTCACATAAATAGAGTCCAGTAGAAGCCATGCAGGACTAGCAGGGCAACTCCACAATCATAGAGCTCCCTAGTTCTATGGGTTTGTTTGTTTGTTTTGAGACAGAGTAATTCCAGCACTTTGGGAGGCTGAGGCGGGTGGATCACCTGAGGTCAGGAGTTCAAGACCAGCCTGGCCAACACGGTGAAACCTCATTTCTACTAAAAATACAAACATGAGCCAGGTGTGATGGCACATACCTGTAATCCCAGCTACTCAGGAGGCTGAGACAGGAGAATTGCTTGAGGCCGGGAAGCAGAGGTTGCAGTGAGCCGAGAGTACACCACTGCACTCCAGCCTGGGTGACAGAGCAAGACTCGGTCTCAATAAATAAATAAATAAATAAATAAATAAATAAATAAATAAATAAAATATCCGTTGGGCCATGTGCACCTGCACACCAACAAGCAAGACCTTCCTCCTGCAAGCTGCCCCCTGGTTTCTCTGCCCATGGCAGTGAAACTTCCTGCGTGATCTTTACTGTCCTCTTCTTTCCACCATCTCTTTCCCCCTCCTCCCCTCCCCAGTTCTGCGCTGCTGAGGCCCCTTCCTTGAGGCTGTTCCTGCAGAGGTGTTCATGCCTCTTATGAGTCCCCATCTTACTTAACATGGATTCCTTCTCCCTCTGTTTGGGTCCTCTTCCCCTGTGGCCTCTTGTCTGCCCCTGTGTGTCTGATGCCGGGGCTCCATCCTTGGCCCTCCTCCTGTTCTTCCCCATCTTCTGCGTTGCCAGGGACATCTCATGCAGTGCTTTAGCTTTAGGGACCTCCCAGGGCATGATGGTTTCGGGTCTGTGCTTCCCCCTTTCCTTTCTCCCCAGGGCTTTTCTGCCTTTTCAAAATCTCCCCCACAAGGTCCCATAAGCTCCTTGGGCCTTGTCTAACTCGGAACTCCTGGCTGCCAACCCCTCTCCCCATGGCCTCCAGCCCCAGTGCCCAGGCCAGACACCCTGGACTCCCCTGAGTCCCTTTTCTTCCCAACCCACTTCCCGCCCAGCAGCAAATCCCATCAATGGGAGCCCGGAGCTCAGAACTGCCTGTGATCCTTGCTCCTCTCTGTTCTCCTCTGCCCCTCCCGCTCCCTTTCCTCCCTGCACAATTCCTGTAGCCTCCTGGCCTTTCCCCACCACTCCCTCCCTGGGTCTTAGTGCATCTCTGCTTACAGCTCTCCAGCAGATTCCCACGGCACACAGGACTAAAGCTCTGAGCTATGGCCTCCAAGGACACTGCCCGCCCTTCCCACCTCATCTCAGGCCTCCTTCTCCCTCATCCTCTCTACTCTGACTAGCCCAATCCCCTTGCAGCTTCTCCAGCACACCCAGCTCAGTCCTGTATCACGCCCTTGTGCTGTGTGTGCTCTCTGCCAGGGATGCCCTTCCCCCAAAGCTCTCCAGCCGGAGGGACGCTGCCCCTCCAAACACTCTCCATTCGGGGCCCCCTTAGACCACCAGCTCCAGGGAAGAAGGACTTTGCCTGAGTGAAATGGAGCCCTCAACTCAAACCTGTTTGTTACTGCCACTCTAGGACACCTTGAGCCCCATCTTCTGGGGAGTGGGGGTCCCTGCACTTGTGCTGTTAATAACAATTGCTCCCAGGGACTACCTGAAACCACTTCAGTGGCCCCCATATCCTGCCCCAGAGATGGCTCAGGGTGCCTGTGTGCCCTGAGTTTGAGCAGCTTTGGGATTGGAGGTCAAGCAGAGACTCTTAAGTCATGGTTCCAGGCAGAACTGGCTTCATGAGCCTGCAACCTGGGCAGTCACACAGGGCCCCAGGCTCAGAAAGGCCCCATACTTGGGTTTTTGTTGTTGCTGTAATTTTGGGATGGAGTCTCGCTGTGTTTCCCAGGCTGGAGTGCAATGGCGCGATCTCAACGCACCACAACCTCCGCCTCCCAGGTTCAAGCAATTCTACTGCTTCAGCCTCCTGAGCAGCTGGGACTACAGGCATGCACCACTGCACCCCACTTAATAACTTTCTAACAATGGGCTCCACATTTTCATTTGGCATGGAGCCCTGCAAATTACGTAGCTGCTTCTGGTTGCAGGAACGTTCAGCTGATAATGCCTGAAGATCCAGAGAGCCAGGTGCTGCTTTCCCTGGGACCCCATGGCCCACAGCCTTCTCTGCTTCCACAACAGCCCCCAGCACTCAGGAGGCCTCAGGTGCTGCAGTGAGAGCTGGGGGATCCACTAGAGAGGGGAGCGTGGGCCTGGGGTTCCAGCAGGCATGGCGAGCAGGTGTCAGGGACGTGGGCCTGGGGTTCCAGCGGGCACAGGGAGTGGGTGTCAGGGTTGTGGGCCTGGGGTTCCCACGGGCATGGGGAGCAGGCGTCCGGGCACTGCACATCCTCCCTCCTAGGAGGCCCTGCACCCTGGCCTGGGACTCTCACGCCCACCCCCTTGGAGCAAGCGGCAGCAGCTTTGTGGCTATTGGGGCAAGCATGCACCTCAGGCGCACGGCTTGTTCTCTGGCTGCACCCCACCCCATTGCTGGTTGGAATAGCAGCAGACACCAGATCCAGAATGGGCCAGATTCTGATTTCTGGATTCCACACATTGGTCAGCACTTCTGAGGTCAGGTAGGACAAATTAAGTGCTGCTGGCTGAGAGGCCGGAGTTCCCAGCCTCTCTAGTGATGGGCCCAACCTCAGAGACCTGACTATATACCATCCCTTGCTCCCAGCTGTTCCTGCCTTCAAACCCAAGCTGTGGGGTTTGCTTCAGCCAGCTGGAAGGCACTGGCTCTCTGAGGTCCTAGGAGTGTGCAATAGTGGAAGACCTAGGCATCAGAGTGCCTCCCCTGCCCCCGAAAATGACCCGTGTGGAAGCTGAGGCAGCTTTATTGAAAGAAAGGACAGTGAATGGGTCTCACAATTTGATCTGCCCCAGAGTGGGGCTGGGAGGTTACCGAGAACGCAGTCCTGGGGTGGAGGAGGCCCTCAGAATCACACCTCCAGGTGTCACACCTCCAGGCTGGACTGAGAGGAGCTGGGCTTGTGACCCACGGGGTTCTTACGCATCACGGTGCGGCGCTAGGGGGTGGCCAGTGGCGAACCACGTGCCGGTAGGAGGTGGCCAGGTAGTCGAAGTAGTTGATGTTGAGTTTCCGGGCGATGTAACGGCCCAAGTATTCCATTTGCTGTGGGAGCAGGTGGCGCTCAACTGGGGCCGGGACAGGACAGACCCCGAGTCGCCGTCCAGGCGTCTCCTTCCCCTACCAGGCCGCATCCCCAGTCCTGCCCGAAGCCCTGGCGCCCTCTCCGGCCCCCAGCAATGAGGACTGCATTGTATTTACCCTCTGCGTGAGGAAACGGCCCCACCCAAAGACCTTAAACAGTGATCTTGTCTTCCTGTTCCGAGAGAGGGCGCGTGTCTGGGCGGAACCCACCTCGTAGCGCTCCGACAGCTGCACCAGCACCAGCGGCTCCAACCTGTGGCCGCCGAGGACCAGCTGGAAGAAGCACCTTCCGTAGGCTGCGGGGAGAGTGGACTCAGCCGGCCTGACCGCCCCTCTGACCTCCCAAGCGGCCTCCCCGTCCCTGGCCCACCCTCCCGGCCAGTCACCGTCGGAGTTGAGGGCCAGGCGCACGTAGACCAGGTGCAAGGGACCCTGGCACACGGTGCGGCCCTGGATGGAGAAGTGGTACACGCCGCGCGTGTGGTTCAGCACCAGGCGGCGTCGCGGGAGCGACGAGATCACGAGCCACAGGCCCACGCCCACGCCGTACGCGAGGAAGACCCAGGTCTCCTGTTTCTGTACCTGCGGACGCCGCAGGGAGCGTCTGAGCTGAGCGGCACGAGGCCGGCCCTTGGGGGAGGAGGGCGATGGGGGTCGGGCCCAGGGGCTCACACCTCTCTCAGGGAGCCCAAGCTGACCAGGACCACGCAGACGACAAAGAGCAGCATCCCCTTCCACAGCGTGTCCAGGTAGTACTCGAGCACGAAGACTGGGGGCGGCGCGGCGCATGAGGACGCCCCGGCCCTGCCCGCAGCCAGGGGTGGCGGTGCCAGGGCTTGGCCCTGACTGGCTGGGTCCGCGCAGGGCTAGGGGAGGCAGTGTCTCCGCCCCCAGGAGCACCGACTGGCCCCGCCCAGGGCCCTGGCTCTGCCCACCTGGCTCCGCCCCATTCAGGCCCGTCCCCGGACCCGCCCCACCCCGCCCCGCCCAGCCTCGCGCGCACCGTTTGGCTGCTGCTGCATGAATGGGTAGAAGCTATTGTTTTTGAGGCGCCTGGCCAGGTGGCGCTCCGGAGAGGAGAGTCCTAGGGACCAGAGCTGGAAGCGCCAGCCGATGGAGGTCGTGGGCAGGCTGCCGGGCCTGGCCTTAGGCATCTGCGTCAGGCAGAGGTGGTCAGCCCGGCCGCTAGCCCGCTGCCACCGCCTGCTGCCCACAGCGACGCTCCTACCTGGGTGAACAAATTCTTCAGGGCTGCAGGCCCAGGAAGGAGCAGGAGCTCATAGGCGACTGGCAGGGCAGCGAGGCCAGGGAGCGGCCCAGGGTGGACCGCGCACGGGTTCTAGAAGTTCTGGGCGGGTTCTAGAAGGGGCCGCTCTGTTAACCACCTCCTAGGGAGTCCGGGGTGAGGTCCTGCGGTGGGCATTAACTTCTTGGCCAGTCCATCCCCTGGAGGCCCCCTGTATGGCCTGTTCACAGTCCTCATCTGAAAGGTGGATGGATGGACACCCTAGGACTGAGCTGGAGAGAAATTTGCAGGCGGGGCCCCACCTCTCCCCCTACATGCAACCACAGACAAGCTCACCAGTGTTCCTGAGGGTGGAACACACACACTGGTGCCAGCAGTGGGCAGGCAAAGGCATGGCCACCTGCAGGCTTAAGAGCCCATGGGGCCATCCTGACCCCACAACACACAGGCTCTGGGTTGGCTGTAGCCCCAGTGGCTCCATCAGGTATAACCCGTTGCCCAACCCTACCTTGAGGACCACACACAGAGCTCCCAAAAACGTTTTATTTAAAAAAAAATGCTCAAATATCTGAAATTGGGCAAAGGTAGGGGGTGGGCAGGCGGGCTGAGGTGTCCCAGGTCTGTGGCTGCCTAGCTGGGCAAGGGGCTGGTGAGCAGCTGCTCCAGACACCACTGGACTTCCTCCAGGCCCCGGTAGGCCCGCTTCAGACCCCGGGGAAGGCAGCGGCAGGACTCCAGGTTGAGGTAGAGCAGGCCTGGGCAGCTGCTGATCACAGAGCTGTGGGGAAAGCAGGCCACAGGAAGTTGAGCTGTTGCCCCAGAAGGGCTGGGCCAGGTTAGGGAGCTGTGCCTGCTGGTGTTCCACACCTGGCTCTGCCACCCATAGCCACTAAGACCAAGCTCAGTTCCCCTGGTGTCCCTAAGCCCACCCCACGCAGGGGCTTGGACAATATGCATGCCCTCTGACCCCTGGAGCTCTCAGGCCAGGCAGGACACCACTTCCAGGCCCCAGGCAGATGCGGTGACAGCCACCCTGGCTCCAGGGACTGGGGTTAGGGATGCTGACCTGACCGTGCTGGGTGTGACCCGGGTGCCCCTGAGGTTAAGAGAGCACAGGGCTGGGTGTGAGCCCCCAGGGGTGCTTAAGAAGGCAGCCAGGGCCTGTTCCAGGTCCTTCTCACTGAAACCCTGGCCACTCAAGTCCAGTTCTCGCAGTGTATGGCACCACTTCTGAGTCAACAGGGGGCTGCCCTCCTTGGCTAGAGTCAGCCGGTCTGACGTGCCATACAGGCCCAGATGAAGCTGCTCCAGCTCTGAGGTGAGAGGAGTGAGCATAAGCTGCAGGGCGACAAGGACTCCCACAACTCACCCGCCCGGCCACCACCCAGGACCGCTGACCCTGGCACAGCACAAGGGTCCCCACACCTCACCCATTCAGCCACCACCCACACCTCACCTGCCTGCCCACCACCCAGGACCACTGACTCCAGCATGGCACAAGGGCCCCCACACCTCATGCGCCTGGCCACAACCCAGAACCACTGACCCCGACACGGCAGATCCTGAAGGCCAGCCGGCGTGATGCGCGCACAGCCACGAAGATCTAGTAAGCGCAAGTTGGGAGAGCCGTGGAGTAGGCGGCCCAGGACCTCGTTGCTTACAAAGTTGCAGGCTGAGCTCGCCAGGCAGAGTTCCTCCAGGCTAGGGAAGCCTGGTCCGGGAGCCACCCCTCGTCCCAGAGGCTTGGGCAGCCACATCAGGTTCAGCAGCCGCAGCACCTGGGGGCAAGGCCCAGGCTGTAGATAGGGGAGCGTATAAAAGGTGGGAGAGGCAGGGCGCCAGGTACCTGGAGCTGGGGGCAGCCTTTCTGCAGAGCCTCAACAGGCAGCTGAAGGGGAATGCTGTTACGGTTGATGCCGCTGCTCACCTCCAGAACCTGGAGCTGGGGGCAGCAGCTGCCCTGCAGAGGTGCGGGGGAAGGGGGTCACAGGGTCAGTGGCCTGGCAGTCCCCGGCTCAGCATCTGCCTCTGCTCCCACCAATGCCAACCTACCAGCAGTGCACCCAGGATGGCTGTCGTCTGGGAGCTGTAAGTCAGCCACAACTTGCGCATTCGGGACCCTGCCTCCTCCAAGAAGCTTACCACAGCTGTGGACTCCACCTAGGGTCCCAATACAAGAGCACCCGTCACCCCAGCCTGGGCTTTTTCAGGGCCCCTTGGGACACAGGGCTCACCATGGAGTGCTGTAGGTCCAGGCTATGGAGCTGGCAGCAGGCTTTGGCTAGCATGACCAGAGCATCAGCAGTCACACCGTGGCAGCCGGAGAGCTTTAGGAAAGTGAGCCGAGGACAGGACTCGCCTACCAGCTGCGGGGAGACAGAGGGGCAGCTGGGGTTGGGAGAGGGCAGGCTAAGATCCACAAGGGAAACAAACAGGTGGCTGGTGCCAACCCCACGCTACCGCCTTAGCTGCGACCTCCTTTCTGCCCATGTCAGGCCTACTTGGGTGTCCCCGCCTCTGACACCTCCCTGCTGGAGGAAACAGCAGGAAAGGAGAACCAGGCAGGCAGGCAGACCTCCCGATGGAGCAGCGTTGGGCCCTCAAGGTGCCTGACCCACTTCCTAGAGTACTCAACAGTCCCAGAGGGTCACAGCTGGTGTGCAGGGCAGCCTGGAGCTCTCACCTTCAGCACGGGGTGTACCTGAGACTTCCAGTGGATGAGGGTCAGCCTCTGGAGCTGTGAAAACCTGGGCCGACAGCAGAGGCAGAGCTGCACTAATGTTCCCACACGAGTCCTTCCCACCCAACACCTTGGTGCAGGGAGACAGAAGGAGCCTGGAGCCAGGGGACAAGGAAAAGAGGGAACCCCTCACCGATTAGGCATAAGCCACTCCAGGGAAGCAAGAAGCTTCTTCTCCGCCTTGACCCCGCCCTTGGCAGGCCGGCCGGCCAGCGGGGACGACAGGGTCACGGTGTGCCAGAGCGCGGGTTGGGAAGCGGCCTCCTGCCAGCGGCGGCACACGCGCGCAGCCCTGGGAGGACAGCGTGCTGAGGCTGCCGGCCCCTTCGTAGGTGATACCCCCTCTCGCAGCGCAGTGGACATCCCGGCTCAAAGCCGGGCTCCTGGGACTCCAACCGGGCGCCTAAGGGGCTGCGCTCTCGGGCGGAGGGGTGCGCGCTCCGATGCTTTCGCCCTCCGCCCCCGCCCGGGCCACTGCTCGGACCACGTCTGGCCCAAGTCGCTGCGCTCGGCGACGGGCCCGGCAGCAGCGTTACCTGCCGAGGAAGGGCATGGGCCCGTCCGCCGCCACCAACAACCCGAAAATCTGCACCAGGATTTCCAAGGGAATGCGGTCTCCCCAGCCCGCGTCGGGCCCTTCCTCGGGCGAGGGCGCCGGGTCGGGCCTGAGCGTGGCCTTGGGCTTGGCCGCGGCGCGGCCCGGGGGCGGCTGCCGGGGAGTGCGGCGGGCAGCGCGGGGAGTGCGGCGGGCAGCGCGTCGCTGTGCGCGGGTCCGGGCGGGTCCGGGTTCGGACAGCACCAGCAGCATGCTGTCGGACGGAAGCAGGTGGTACCCCGAGCCGCTCGGCGCCAGCCGGTCCCACCACCAGTCCTCGGCCGAGCGGGCCCGCGGCGCTGCCCGAGCTCTGCGCCGGACCTTCCGGGAGGCCGGGGAAGCCATGACCACCGACGGCGCTTGGGGCAGCTCCAGGGAGCGGAACGGGCGGGGCTTACAGACTGACACCCCCCGACTCTTCTCTGCGCCCGCCCGCTGACCCGCTTCCGGGGCGGGACTTCCGGCCGTGGGCCATGCCGGGGGCGGGCCCGGAGTCGCGGCGGGTGAGTCTGGTGGTGGCTGCTGTCGGGTCCTGGGCTGTCTGGACTGAGGCGGCGTCCCTGGGCCGGACGGCGGCGTCCTGGCGTGGCGGGAAGCCGGCACTAGAGCGGGAGCGCACTGGGCGCGGGACCGGGAGGCGTAGGGTCGCCCATCTGAAGCTGGTGAGAGGGCGGCGCCCCTACGAGCAGAGCCGCCCCAGCCACTCCCCTGGGATCTGACTTGGCTCCTGCGGTCCCGGGCACCGCGAAGCCCTGGGGCGTGCTTGGCTCCTGCTGGTAGGCGCCCTGTCCCAGTGTCCGGCTTGGGGTGGTGGTTGCAGTGACTCCAACCCCGCCTCTCCCTGGAGAGGAGGGCTCCACTCGCTCCTTCGGCCTCCTCCCCTGGGGCTGCAGCGACTCGGGCCGGCTTCCTGCTTCCCTACCTGCCGGCGGTCCCGACGCTGGCGGGCGGTGCTGCTGGGTACGTTTTAGCCAATCCTCCCCATCCCCACTCCTGCCCGGGGCTCCCCCTGTTCCCTTGGTCTCACCCTGTTCCCTTGGTCTCACCCTGTTGATTCCGGTTCTGTATCCTGCCTATTTGTCTGTTTCTTTCAAGCTAGAAGAGGTCTTCAGTTCCCAGAAGAGCCAAAGCGTCTCTGGACCTAGGTGGGAAAAGAACTGGCTGTGACCTTTGCCTTGACCTGGAAGGGCGCAGCCTTGGACTGAATGGCAGCACCCACACCCGGCCGTCCGGTGCTGACCCACCTGCTGGTGGCTCTCTTCGGCATGGGCTCCTGGGCTGCGGTCAATGGGATCTGGGTGGAACTACCTGTGGTGGTCAAAGAGCTTCCGGAGGGTGAGTGGGAGGAGGTGCAGGTGTGCCCAGGAAGGTGGGCCCTGTCAGTTCTTCTTCCCTTGGGTATCATGCCCCTGACATGGTCTCCTCCCTTCCCTGCAGGTTGGAGTCTCCCCTCCTACGTCTCTGTGCTTGTGGCGCTGGGGAACCTGGGTCTGCTGGTGGTGACCCTTTGGAGGCGGCTGGCCCCAGGAAAGGGCGAGCGGGTCCCCATCCGGGTGGTGCAGGTGCTGAGCATGGTGGGCACAGCTCTCCTGGCCTTTCTGTGGCACCGCGTGGTCCTAGTGGCAGGACAGTCGCATTCCGTGGCCTTCTTAGCACTGGCCTTTGTGCTGGCGCTGGCATGCTGTGCCTCTAATGTCACTTTCCTGCCCTTCCTGAGCCACCTGCCACCTCGCTTCTTACGGTCATTCTTCCTGGGTCAAGGCCTGAGTGCCCTGCTGCCCTGCGTGCTGGCCCTAGTGCAGGGTGTGGGCCGCCGTGAGTGCCCACCAGCCCCCATCAACGGCACCCCCGGCCCCCCACTCGACTTCCGTGAGCGTTTTCCCGCCAGCACCTTCTTCTGGGCACTGACTGCCCTTCTGGTCGCTTCAGCTGCTGCCTTTCAGGGTCTCCTGCTGCTGTTGCCACCACCATCTGTACCCACAGGGGGCTTAGGATCAGGCCTCCAGGTGGGAGCCCCAGGAGCAGAGGAAGAGGTGGAAGAGGCCTCACCATTGCAAGAGCCACCAAGCCAGGCAGCAGGCACCACCCCTGGTCCAGACCCTAAGGCCTATCAGCTTCTCTCAGCCCACAGTGCCTGCCTGCTGGGGCTGTTGGCTGCCACCAACGCACTGACCAACGGCGTGCTACCTGCTGTGCAAAGCTTTTCCTGCTTACCCTACGGGCGTCTGGCCTACCACCTGGCTGTGGTGCTGGGCAGTGCTGCCAATCCCCTGGCCTGCTTCCTGGCCATGGGTGTGCTGTGCAGGTACACAAGGGCCCTTCAGCCCCTGTGCGGGTGGAACTCAGGGCTGGGAGCCAGGTCCTGGCACAGTCAGCCCTGACACTCTGCTCACTCTCTACAGATCCTTGGCAGGGCTGGGCGGCCTCTCTCTGCTGGGCGTGCTCTTTGGGGGCTACCTGATGGCGCTGGCAGTCCTGAGCCCCTGCCCGCCCCTGGTGGGCACCTCGGCAGGGGTGGTCCTCGTGGTGAGCACAGGGGACGTGAAGTGGGGTGGGGGCGTTTTCGTGGAGCAGGCACATCTCACGCTCAGCTGCTGCTGTGTCCCCTCAGGTCCTGTCGTGGGTGCTGTGTCTTGGTGTTTTCTCCTACGTGAAGGTGGCAGCTAGCTCCCTGCTGCATGGCGGGGGCCGGCCGGCATTGCTGGCAGCCGGTGTGGCCATCCAGGTGGGCTCTCTGCTCGGCGCTGTTGCTATGTTCCCCCCCACCAGCATCTATCACGTGTTCCACAGCAGAAAGGACTGTGCAGACCCCTGTGACTCCTGAGCCTGGGCAGGTGGGGACCCCGCTCCCCGACGCCTGTCTTTCCCTCAACGCTGCCACCATGCCTGAGTGCCTGCAGCCCAGGAGGCCCGCACACCGGTACACTCGTGGACACCACACACTCCATAGGAGACCCTGGCTCTCTGGGGCGGGGGGAAAGGGCAGGGAGCAGGCTTGGAGCCAGGGACCGGTGGGGGCTGTAGGGTAAGCCCCTGAGCCTAGGACCTACGTGTGGTTTGCATAATAAAACATTTTTATTTAATGAGTTGGCATTAATTCTTTGAGCATCTCTTTCTGTGTGGATGCTTCTGTGAACTAGAGCCATGGCCGGGCCTGTTTAACAGGGGCCACCTCTCCCCAGGCCCTGGGCAGGTCCTTACCCACCGCAGGCTGGTCTCACAGATCGTACAGTCATGGCCCTCTGAGCCCAGACTCCCCTACATTCCTTCTTGGAACTGCCCTGGGCTCTCTGGGCACACAGGAGCTACCAGCTTCGGTGGTCAGAGGAGTAGAGGAGCCTCTTCCCAGCAAGGCCACTGCTCCACGAGCACCTCTCAAGGGCATTAGGGTCAGTTGGATGGGGCTGCAATGTGCCGAGCCCCGTGCCCACCCTTAGCCCTGGAGTGACGGCCTGCCTGCTGGCTTCCCAGGAGTATCCTGCTACGGATTTATACCGGGGGTTGGTGTGCAGGCACCGGGGTACTCAGTGAGGGGGACTCAGAAGAGACAGAGTTTAAGGTTTTAGCCCGTCAGGACCCTTTGGCCTGAGTATTGCCCCCTCCCCTGAGCCTCTAGCCTCTCAGTGCCAGCTCCTTCTGTAATCAGACCCTCAAAGGCCCCAAACCCTTTCTTTAGGCAGATTTAGCTACAGCTGCCTTCTCCCTGGGCTGATGGCACACCGCCCCTGGCCCTGAGCAGCCTGGGCCTGTAAGTGTTGGCATCTGCAGGGAACAGGACCTCAGCACTGACCATGGCCTATCCTGGGCTGGGTGGTTCTCAGGCACCCACAAAAAGGGCTGGAGCCGCAAAAGAACTAATTGAGAGGAGTCCCTGAGCCTGGCAGCAAGGATCTGGAAGAAAGTGCTGGGGGAGGCCGTGCCAAGGTAGGAGCCTGGCTTTCTTCACCTTGTGGGCAGCCACCCCAGGGAGGCAGGACACCGAACTGTGAGCAGTGTGACGGGCCTGGCAGCAAGGCCCATTCTCACAGGCAAGAGGCCCCACTTCTGCAGAGGAGCCCCTGCAGCCGCAGGGAGCGTACAGGCACTGGGGAAGGTGGGTCTGTTCCTGCTGCCCAAGCTCTGCCTGCGACGGTTCGGCTCTCTGGAGGCCCTTTCTGATTGTCCTTGGGTTGGCTTGCACATGGGCCTTTGAAGGCTTGGTCTTCCTTCCTGCTTCTACTCCCTCCTGTCTTGGCAGGACCATCCAAGGAGGAAGGAGCCCCCGTGACCGGGAAAGCCTCTGGTCTGGGGCCCCATCAAACATCAGGGCAGGCCAGCTCCCAGGGGACTCAGGAACCCCAGCTCTGAGGGCAGAGGCCACCGCCAGCTCCAGCCTTCTAGGATGCTGCCACCTGAGGCTGGGCCCCTGTCCCGCTGACCCGGCTGCTTCCCTTTGGGGGTTGCAGGTACTGAGGGCTCTAGGGGGTGGGGGCTGCAGGTTGAGTGAGTTTCAGAAGTCACCTGGTAAGAGAAGAAAGCTTCTGAGGGAGGATAAGGACAAGAATGGGACGAGGTGGCTGGTGTCGGTGGCACGGCTGTGGGCAGGCAGCAGGGCTCCTGGTCTCATGCTCGCCCCCTTCCCCTCATCGCTCTGCCCCCACCACTATCAACACTGGTGCTTGGGGCCTGCCCTCTCCTGTCCACCCGGGGCTGGAGGCTGGTGGAGCCACCTCCCAGCTTCTTCCTGTCTTCCCTCCCATAGGGCAGCGATCAAAGGCACCCATGGAGCCTCTGCTGTGTGCCACACATGAGCCGCACTCCCCCAGGCCGCAGAGGAGCAAGGTGCACATTCCTCTGAGTGAGGAATCCCCTGCCTTTTGAAGTCTCTGTGAGCTTCCTGCCCATGCTCAGTAGGAACTGGGGCAGGGGTCAGAATAATAATGGCAGGAAGGTGCCTCGGGGCCGAGGCCTTGAGCACTGCTCACTTACAGTTTCCCAGGGCTGAGCCCAGGGCCAAAGCTGGGCCCCTGGGAGGCAGGATAGCTGCACAGCAAGTGACCAGAGGTTCCGAAGCGCGAAACCCTGCCCGAGAGGAATTTGGAGGAGACTCCATCCTCCACCAGAAGGCAGGAGTGGAGCCGGACCCGATACCCCGCACCGTCCCCAGAGGGTGGTCCCCTGAGTAGGAGCAAAGCCTGCAACTCACTGTTCCTTGTCCCACCACAAGGAAAAGTCTCCTGGGCTCCTTAACAGCAGAGAAGGGGCCAGGTGCAGTAACTCATGCCTGTAATCCCAGCACTTTGGGAGGCCGAGGCAGGTGGACCACCTGAGGTCAGGAATTCGAGACCAACCTGGCAAACATGGCAAAACCCGTCTCTACTAAAAATATAAAAATATACCGGGCGTGGTGGCGGGTGCCTGTAATCCCAGCTACTCGGG